AACTCATTTGCTGACTGTCTGCCTCTTAGCCTGCTTCGCAGCATTGGTTTGTGTTCACTTTTGTTATGTAATTACCGCTGATATTTGCGGCGCTTAACAGAGATCAGGCACTGGGCCGGAACGGAAACAGCAACGGGCAAAAGGCCAGTTCTCGAGGCTTGTACTGCCAACTGTTACAACTGTTTATGCTGGCGCTAAGCAAACAGTCCGAATAGCTGCACACGTAAACAAGCACACACACATGCACTCTTTGACAGGACCCGACCTCGGACAGTTGACCGTCATCATCATCAGCGGCAACAGCAACGGCAACTTGCGTTGCTGTGTTTCCCTAATTTGCCCACACTGCCTGCGAAAATGTCAACAACAAACTGTGCAAAATGCATTTACCACTCTCCACCAACTGCAGCTGTAACTGGAACAAAAACTACAACTGAACAGTTGAACAGTTGCACAGTTGCCGCCTAAGTAGAATACACTCGAAAAAAAGAGAACAAGTTGGCGGCGGGATAGTCTTCTACGTTCAGCAGCTCTTTGCTTAAGTGTGAAACTATCCAAAAATCGAAATATAAGTATGGCTGTGTGCGTGTGTCCAGCTGATGAATGACTGCCTATATGAGTTGGGGCAATACATTTACCAAAGCTTATTTAAAAATTCCCATGAAACCAATCATCTCAAGCCTACTGGCAAAGTTAAGCTCATCGTGAGTCGAAGTTACAATTGGTAGCAGACAAAAGAAAGTAATAATAAAGAGAGAGCAACAAAATTTGATGAAACTTTTGTAGCCAGGCATCAGCATGAAGTAGTCTGGATCCAAAACTGAAGCCAAAATAGCCCTATCTAGTGAATGAGTTATTTTATAACACATCAGACATTCATCAAGCTTTAACTTGAACTGTTTCCTACTTCACCGTAACTTATTTCCCTTCAGCAGGTGATTACATTGACTCTTAAATATAAACTCGAACAAGTTTTGGTTACTTATAATTCAAGCAGCTGCATTGTTAGATGTGAGCTACAATTAAATTGGCAATTTATCGTTTTTTCATTGAATTAGCTCAATTAGTAAAATGCATTATCTCGCCAGCAACTAGCACTAAGCATAATAAATCATTATAAATATTTTATTAATAAATCGAATTTTCTACGGACTAAATAAATTTCTTCTATTAAATCAATTAGTTTTGCCATTTTCCTCGAATTAATTACACAGTAATTGGGCATTGAAGCAAAAACTTTTACGATGGTTTTACCATGGTGGCTTCAAAATATTGTGTGGATTACCAATTTCTAATTTCTCCGCCTGCAAGTTATTAGAGAGTTATTTATTATTTATCGGCACAAGCAATCATTCAGCCAAAAGGTAATTTCTGAATACAAATTACATATACACCCAGCTCAGCTTTAAAAAGAATTGAATAACTAAGTATTTGTAATCAATCTCACACATATAAGCTGACAAGCTTACCTCTTATTGAATTTGAAAATATTTAGTATTTGAGAAAAAAAAATTCTACAAGCTAAGAAAAATAAACCATTGAGTAACAAATTTAATTGAATATGTCCAAAGGCCGCAGTGTACATGACTGATTCTCTGAGTTAAGCATCATCCACTTAAGCAAATATTAGCTTAAAACACACACACATCAGCAAAACTGTTACGTAATTGTATATTGTCAACGGAAGGCAGTTGAAATTTGACAACTGTCATAAACAGACGAGAAGGCAAAGCCAAAAACATTGCACGAGCCAGAGAGACAGGAAGAGACGCAGAGAGAGAGAAAGACATAGACAGAAAGAGAGTACCCTGAAAGATGTGGCACAATTAGATGATTTTGTGACTGTCATGTCACTAATTTTATAATGCAAGCCGCAGGATATAAAACGCTACAAAGCCCAAGTGCTAAGGACAAGTCAAGGATTTGGGCGCACCACACACAGACACACATATGCACACCTACATAGCCACGCATAATATATATATAATTGTTCAAGGGACATGGACACGCAATATTTCGCTTTGTGGTTCTTTCTTTGGCTTGTTTGCCGATGTTTGTGTCAAATTGCAGCGTTGACAGCTGACACGTGGTTTGCCCAAGCATCTATTTTATTGCAGCATCTTATAGACGCCACCCACTTGTCGTGTCCTGCGACACATTCCTGTTAGGTTAGCTTTATTATAGCCTTTAATTACTTGGCCACTGGGCTCGCCTGCAAATTTAATGTAATTTTCCGTTTTAATTGCTTGGATTCCAAAACCGTTTGTGCTTGCGGCAGTTGCCTGTAATTTTATTACATGCTTCTCTGTTCATAAATATTAAATGCCTGTTAGGTATGTAAACTGTGAATAAAGTTAGCTTAACATGTATTCCATAATATACACACATGCACGCATGGACGGACACTAGATATGCTTTGGCCTGTGAAAATGATGATGTTCACACAAACACACATGAGTTGCTGCGTGCCTGTGTGTGTGTGATGGGTTAATGAGTGCCACTTATTTGCAACATATAACCCTTAGAGTCATCAAGTTAACCAATAACATTGCAAATACTCCTGTACCAACACATAAAACTGACGCTTAACATAAGCTAGCTAAGAGTTTTTCCCAACTCTGAGTAGTTTCATAAACGTAGACTTTAATTGATATTGCTAATGCTGTTTCGGAAAGCTGCTGAAACAGCAAGCTGAGCCATCATAAAAAACGGAATTTAAGGCAGGCTTTCGCTCGTTCCAAGCTTATTTTAAAAGTAGTTTTTATGTGTTATACACAAATATTAATATTCACTTTGGTAAAGTAAGCTTTTTAAGAATATATAATATATAAACTCTTAAAGTTCTTTAAGTGAAGTAACGACTAAACATGCTCAAAAGTTTTTAAAAGTTTTTAGAGGCCTTTAACTTTCTGTTGGGTACACACTTTATTTAATAAACCATTTATCAGCAAATAGTTGATTTTTATAGAGTTTAGTTTGACATTTAATAAGGATAGATTAACACAAAGAAACGTTTGTAAATTCTTATCCACATAATTTTCTGTTCTTCAAACTTGTAGTACATTTTATGACGATAATGATCATTAATTGTGATGATTTCAAAATTGGTGTTTGGCCACAAAGCCAATATTATTTTTATATGTTAATGTCAAAATATTTTCTACGCAATAAAATCTCTTTTATTGATATGCAAAATTTAGTTCCTTATATTATTATGATTTAAGCTTGTGTAACTATGTAGGAAACACTATGAGTTATGCCTTATTTTATTAAAAACCCAAATTACACATATTTTAATTAGATTTTCAGTCAATTTATCTCACTTCTAATAATTTTAATAAATATCTTATATTATTCAAGTCGCAATTCACTTAAATGTATATTTATATTTATATTTATTTATACTAATTTTAAGAACTTATACAGCACATAATCATACAGGTTACTGGTTGCATAGGGGCAAAGTTTCATCGACTCTTTTGAAAGCAATATTAATTAATATACCCTAACATATTTCGGCAAATAAATTGATAAATCTATGAACAATTTATTCTAAATAAACCGTTCGCAGTGTGCACTTCTTGGGTAATATGTAAATTACTGTAAATTGTCCCCTCACAAACCTACCCTTTTTAATATCGACTGCAATGCACGCAATAAATCGACAATAGCAGGGCTCTGTCTACATTGGTGTTCAATAAACACATAATCAAGCTTAATTAGCTGCAGAAACCACCAACTTGCATTAGCAGGCAGCCCAACCTGTGCAATCCGTAATAGTGGGTGGCTGAGCTAGCCACCAGCCAGCAGGATTGCTGGCAAACTTGTCGACAAACTCAAGTACGAATAATTGAGAACTATCCCTCAGACCCAACATAATAGGAACATAAATTTGTGACAGTTTTGTTTATGGTCTGTTACAAGTTAAGACCTATCTGCATTACATTCGGATAATTGACCGCAACAACTGCACCTACAGCAACAACAACAAATTGTGCTTTATACATATAAGGGAAATTTACTGAAAATTATTTACGTGAAAGGTGGGAATTGACAAAGAATATTTCATGTTTATATACTCGTTTAAAGTATCATATTTCAACAATTTCCCTTTTAATAATAAAAATATATTTAGACACCTGAGCTTCAACCAGAGCTCAATTAAATATATAAGCAAATTTTTTTAAACAGTTTCATTCAAAATTTTTTAAAAGAAGTGGGCTTACCATAATGTATATATATTCTTGATCAGGATAATGAACGAAGTCCATCTAGGCATATCCGCCTCTCCGTTCGTATGAATGTAACTATCTTTTAAGCCACATAAACTAGAGATTAACACTTTAAAATTAATACGCATGTATTTCTTTCCAATAGTAAAGTTCATACTGCCTAAGCATTAGCTGTGTGTGCATGAATTATTTGTCATGTATGTGTAGAAGTATAACATGTAGAATGATGAAATTATCAGCTATTCGCAGGGCCATCAATATAAATTTCAAGCTTAAACCATGGTTTATCAAAACTCATACAACTTAAGTTTTCCTCGAACGATATACTAATTACAAATTAAATTTGAGTTCCGGTAACAACCTTCAATTCTACCCTCTCTGCACCCAAGCGCTGTATAGGCTTTGAGTCGCAACAATATTGCATACTTGACATCCGGTTTGGAACAAAGGCATTCTAAGGTTGCATTAATATCTATATATATCGTAGGAATCTTGGTGTCCTTAATAATATGAGCAAAATCGTGTACGAATAGAGCCTCGAAATGGTCGGATGGTAGTCACTAATTGGGGCAAAGGTGACAAAATGCAGAGCACGTTTGCATCAAATGCAATTGGTGTTAATTAATTAACTGCAAATGAGAAGCAGACTCGAGAGCCTCCCAAATACCTGCTCAACTGCTTAGCAGCTCAACTACTCAACTACAACTCGACAGCTGACCCCAAACGTAATTGTAATTAGAGAAACCGCATTTGAACATTGTGAATTGCAGACTTGTGTCAAGTTTATTCAGAATCACTGAGAATGGCTTGCTTGCGTCTGTGTTTGAGCTTCGTTTGCTTTGAATTCGATTTTGCATTAAGGTCTGGCTTATGTTTGGGTTGCTCTACAGCATCCGCTTTGCTATATGGGCTGAAATTGTCATTCTCCCCCTCATAATCATCGCTCTCCTCTTCATACTTCATTGGCTTCATTTCCGTGTTGCGATTGGTGCGAATGCCTGGCGTTCGTTTGACTTCCGGAAATACAGTCGCAGTGTTTGCATTCTGATGCTGACTCCAATCCTGATCATCAGTCAGCGGGTAGCGATCAGTTTCAAGCTCACTTTGATGGATTGGTAGTTCGGCATCAATATCGTCGGCTGTGCAATGTCGCATGGGCTTCACACGAGGCTTGCGTTGATTTTTCTGCTCACGCCGCTTGTCCGACTTTTCCTTCCGCTCCTGGGCCTGCTCCTCTTTTACCTTGCGCTCGCGATCCAGCACCGGATTGGTGCTGAGATCCATTAATACCTTCACACAGCTGTTGAGCGGCTTATAAAAGGCACGTTTGCGCAGGCCCTGCACGTGGCTTTGCCCAAAGTTCGACTCCAGTTTGGGGCGCAGTGTCATTTTATCCTTGATGGGGCCTTGCCTATAATAGTAGCTACCCTGACGCACATACAGCTGGTTCTGACCCATGGGCATGGGATGTTTGACCACATCAAAGGCCTCTGCACCAACGTGAAAGGTTTCCGAACCATCGGACCAGCGCACAATGCGAGCATTCGACTCTTTGTACAGCTCGCCCGTCGACTTATCCTGGCACTCGCGCCAGCGGACAGTTGTCTTAAGTTTCGTGATGAAAGCATCACGGGACTCCTTGTCGTTAAGGTCTTCCGGACGGAGAGCATTTTGGAATGTATGCGCCTCGTAGGCTTCCGGCTCAACAGGCATAAAATGCGGCATGCGCAAGAATCTCTCGAGGCCACCCAAAAAGTGAACATCTATCGGTGGCAGCTCAGTCTTGAATTCGGCGCACAGCCTGTTCTTATACTTGGTCTTACAAAACCGTTCCACTTGATCCACCAGCTCGTCAAGCTTTACATCGAGATCATTCTCTTCAGTGTCAGCAGGCTGGGCGAACGAGCTGCCTGCGCCTGAGCCATTGGCACTTGCATTCTCCACTTTCACTGAAGTGGATGGCCTTTCGACCCCCGAGGCACTGCTGGAGCTATTTTCGCTACTGCTTCCGCCATTGCTGCTGCTCCCACTGCTTCTGCTGCCATTGTCCTCGCTGCTGCTGGAGGACGCATCTTCATTTAGATCCTGTATTGGAGATTTCTTCATATTCTCGCCCATTTAAGCATCAAAATCTAGCTTGAATGCTTATGATAGCAGTTGTATCTGAATGAGATTTAGATATGAAAGAATAATTTGATTTCAATCTTTGTATATTACTCATTGACAGCTGACAGTAGAGTTGCTTGTCTTTTTCTCACTGAACGTACAACTGATACAAAGCCAACAACTGTCTAAGACTCTGTGTCAACTCTATGAACGCACCGTTTCCACATGTCGCATTTCTTTCTCGCGTCCTCTTAGAACTCTTACAACTCACTGTAAGTAACTTACTGTAATAAAATATAATAAAATAAATATTAAATATTAAAATTAATATTATAAAACTTATCTTGACGCTACAGTGAGGGTCGGGATGTGGTCTCAGACACGGATTCACGGATTTTACTGGGCGATTTTATCGTGCGACTAACTTAAACCAAGAGTAATACCCGGATCAAAATTCCGTTTGCATGTTTACACTAAATTCCTAATGTGAATAAAGACATATGTTCTATTAATATGGAAAATGTTCTATTTCGCATGAAAAATAAATTTTAGTTTTTTGGGTACAGCTAAAGTTGTTTAAATAGTTTTTAAATAGTTTGTTATTGCTCCGAAATTCCAAGCCGGTTAGAAGCTGTGGCTTTTACATACTACTATAAGCCGGCATACACACATGTTTACAATTTGCGAACTATGAATAAATGTAAAGTGAACACCGGCCTCGCACAGAAAGTTTCGCCCGTAGCCCACGTCCAGAAAAACAAACGCCACCAAAAGGAAAAAATAATATGCGTAATTAAACTCGAAATTAATTTAACAACTGCCAACGAACATACTTATGCAGAGCAATCTGAATAGTAATTAATGACTCATTTTTAGATACCCTGCATTGAAAATCAATTGCTATACACAAATATGGGAGACATTCATATGTGTTTCCATTCACTTGGTATTTGAGCTGGACTTAATACTTTGTTTTATAAGTTATTTAACATTTGTGTATAGTCAGTAAGTCATGTAGGGTAAGTCTAGTCGAGTGCTCTCCGTACAATAATATTTTTGGATCTACATACGCTTTACATTTTTTCTTCTTCCTTTTTATATTTAAACCCATTATGAGTTCTCGATTAATTAAAAATCGCTGTCAGTCAGCACCTGTGCGTCGAGTTTTCGCATCAGAAATATTATCTATGATGGCGACGAGGTAATGACAAATGATTTATTCATGAATTCAGCGTATGCCAAGTCCGTAAAAATGCACATGTAAGCCCGCAAATGATTGAGTATTAATCAGCAGGAGGGTTCCATTTCAAAGTGCTCGACGAGCAGATACTTTATAGCCAGTTACCGGTATAAGCAAAGCTAATTAAGTAAATTCAATTTCTTTCTTATAAGCCTTAAGTCTTATTTTACAGAGCTGATATAATTAAGCATTACATTTCATAACTACGATACAAACCGATAGTCGACAGCCACACATAAATGTTCACACTGCATTCGAATGCCTATTTTATGTGGTTCAGAGTGGTACAGAGTATCCAAGTGAGTCAGTGATAATGAGGTCTTAATGACATCAAGCTTAAAGCTTTTAGATGAAAATGTCAATTAATAATTCAGAAATTAAATGCAACTGTCAGAGAGCGTGGCATTCGTTGAAAGTTCAATTCATCGCCCATCAATTGGCAGCGGCAGAGCAATTTGCGTAATTTCATGATAGTTGTGCGTCTTCAAAAGTAATAATTTTATGAATCTGTTGGTCAAACATTCATATATAAATACATACACATAAATATAAAATTCTTTAAAATAATAAATCGAATGCAATAACCGATGCTGGAGAAAACAAAAAAATAACATTGACAATTCTCTTCATATGATTGATGTAATATTCGAAATACAGATAAAATCATAAATAAATTGTTGATTTTAGGTTTTAAATATTATAAATGTTATCTGTATATATATATAAGTGCATATGTAATCTTTGCAACTGTTAAGTGCATATGTCCATCAATGTTAGGAGCTTTGAATAACTGATGGTATGACACTCAACTATATCAATATTATTACATAATAATCATACATAGTAATCTGATTATATGTATTTGTATTTGCAAGTATTTAATACTTCAATAAATCTTTAAACTTTGTTTTATTTAGCGGAGTGGAAAAAATGCTTGCCTATTTTAGCCAAGCTTTCAATTAGATACGCACAGAAGTGGGAAACACGTCGCAGTGCAACATAAATCTTAAAATATTTCCTTTTCATGGTAAGCGAGATAAAAACAATCTCCACTCAAAATGGAAGCTAAGGTAAAAGCCCTTTTAACTATTTAAAATAATTTCCACAAAGTTTTTACCCAAAATAAAGAAAAATTAAGGCAAATAAAAGAATATATATATATATATATATATATATATATATATATATATATATATATATATATATATATGGGTGTGTGTATGTGTATGTTGTATGTATATTAATATTTGTGTTTGTTCGGCTGCCTTGAAACGCGCCATTCAACTTTGTTAGACATTAGAATGTAGCTGCTTTTTAGAGAAAAACTGAACTAAACATTGCACAAGCAATGAAAACATATGCACACACATATGTATATACATAGCCATGCAGAAACACGCAAAGACCAGCGTACATATAGTGGGTCGTATTTGGCATTGCCTGAGGGCAGAGTGAAAAATAAACCAACATCTAAAATAAATATTAAAATTTGTGCAATAAAATGCTGAGCAATAAAACGAAAAACCCTACTCTGTCTGTCTGCGTGTGTATGTGTATGGATGTGTGTGTGTGTGTGGGTAGGTGTGTGGCTGTGGCTGTGTTTGTGGGTGTGGGTGTGTATATACTTTCTTATGAAGCATGTGCGGAAGTGGCAAGCGCCTCAAGTTGAGAAATATTAAGCTCACATCCATGCCTTGCCAGCCCGCACAGTGTCCTCTGCCCAGGCTATGTCTGCCAGTGTTGAAAAGCGCCCTGGGGTGGCAAGTTTATCGCGCTCACTAAATCTGCGCCACGGGCCGGAAGTGATGCCAAAACCAGACTAGTACAGCAAAGGCGAAGACGGTAGCAAAAGCGCAGCTGAAAGTAATACAAGTATATATGAAGTAATGAGCGGCTGAAAGACGACCGACAGAGTCGCTACAAAAGAGAGAAACAAAGATGAAGGAACAGAAAGTGGAAGAGAGAGAGAGAGAGAAGGCGGAGAGAGTTGCTGTAAAAATAAGTTTAATATATCCGCATCGAGATTGCCCCAAACGGAAGTTGGCGTCTGTTGATAAAGGAATCCACTTTGCGGCTGGCTTCGCCTCAAAGTATGCAACGGTTTTTGCATTTTTCTTTCGATAGAGCAAAGCAAATATCACGAAGCCTGAGCAACTATGTGTCTTGGTGAGCGGCTGCTGGTGGCAAGAAAAACTGGGCAAGACAGAGTGCATCTAAGAACTAGCAACACTTGCACACCTGCACACAGACACACACACACACAACTGAGTCTGCTGTCGTGGAATTCAATAAAGTTCTGCAAACATGGCAAAAGAGCAAAACTCTTGCAACCTTTAGTAAAAACTTACTTAGTTTCATAAATAAAATTTAATGTAGTCTGCTGAGAAAGATAATATCGAAAATAAATATCCTCGTGCGTTTCTAAATTGCCTTGAATACATTTTTTTATAATCATAAATAATATATGAAAAGATTCTGAAACTAATTTGATTAAATAAAGCAAAATCAAAATAATTTGTTGACCTTCAGATATTTTATTAGTAATTGTAAGACACTAATCCCCAATTCTTTAAATTTAGGAATCGCAAATGAATATTTTCTCCCAACTGCTAAATAAATATTTTTAAAATATAAAACTTGCCACTTATTTAAATTAAAAAATATAATAAATGGTTTTCTAAATTTTTATTCATAGTAACGTAAAATAAATAGTTAGTAATTGACAAGATTCACTAAAGAAGTAATCTTCGACGACTTTATATTGCCTGCGAACTTCTGAGCTATTGCACGCAATTGCAAAAGATTAATTTATTGTTTTTTTTTTTTTTTTTGTGGCTCCAAATTACTGCACACTATCTGTTGACACTTGAACTTAACGTCACGAATTTCCAAAAATTAAAAAGAACATGACAAGCTTCTATATGTGTATATTTGGCCTTTTTACGTAAAGTAAAAGATAACAAAAACATAAAATAAAATATTAAATATAAAAATATACAGTTATTGCTCTTCTGTGAAATTTTCACTAATAATATAAATTTATTTAATGTTTGAGAGAAAATAAAAGAAGTGCGAGAAAATGAAAAACGAAAAACTGATTTGACACACGTAGTAAACAAGTTTATATTTCATATTTATGTATTGAAATTAATGACAATTTCTTTGAACCCAGCCAAATGCCAATTAAAATGACGACGTCTATAAAAATTGACGGCGTCAATGCGATCATGAATATAAAAATGATATAAAAAATGCTTGCGACTTAGACTTGTCGAGCAAAGTGTGAAAAGCGTTGTAAAGCGAAGGAAGCTGAATGACAAAAGCAACAAAGCCACATGCAGAGGCTGCCCAGACTTGTTGCAATTGTGCTGCTAAACGTCAGTATCATTCAGTGGTATTTGTTGATTGTTACTGACTGTGGGACTTGCGGAGCTTGAAGCTTGAAGCATTGCACAAACTGCAAAACATGTAACAATAAAGTTTTATGAAACAACAAACAGTAGGGTAACTAGTGTCCTGGCCGTGTTGTACTTACTAGTTGCAAGTTGCACAAGTCGCCATTGTTGTTCTGCTGGTTGCTGATGGCTGCTGGCGTCGCAGCAGTAGCTGCTGCACCTGACGTTGCGTTGAACTCTTAGCTCTGTCTATGGCAATGTTGCTGCCGGCCATTTCCGTCAGAGAGCGCACTAAGTGCCACCCAAAACACAGACACACACACACACAGCCACAAACACAGAGTCGCTGTAGCATGCACACCAATACAACTTGGCTTTGGCAGACGCGTTTTGCATGCAAAGTTTATAGTTAATGACGCAACTGTGGCGTGTTTGTAAAGTGTTGAAATTGGAATTATACCCTGGGGCCTGCTTGTTGTCGTTGTTGTTGTTTTGCAGTGTGTTACTGTTACCTTTGCTGCCGTTACTGCAATCCATAAAATGCAATGCAATACAATGCAGTCAAGACGCAGCCATGCTTATTGTTGTTTTTGTAGCACCAATCACAACAACAACAAGCCCTGCAACAATAATGTTAATGAATACAAATACATAATTTCAAGCAAACACCAACGACCAACACTATGTCGCAGCTGCAACAGTAATAATAAACAATTACCTTTAGCCATAGTTAGCTTTCACCTGGCTGTGCAATTAAGTTCTAAATAGAAACAGTTGGTTACCCAAGAAGAACAAAAGAGACTAGCAACAGCTGTCAAAACTTAATTTATGAAAAAATAATAATAACTTTTTAATTATCCAATAACTTAAGTGTGCCACGGCACTAGAGGCAAGACCCTATTTCCTATTTCCTAGACCTTAGAGCTTAGACCTTAGACCTTAGACCTTAGGCCTTAGGCCTTAGACCTTAGACCTTATACCTTAGACCTTAGACCTTAGACCTTAGACCTTAGACCTTAGACCTTAGACCTTAGACCTTAGACCTTAGACCTTAGACCTTAGACCTTAGACCTTAGACCTTAGACCTTAGACCTTAGACCTTAGACCTTAGACCTTAGACCTTAGACCTTAGACCTTAGACCTTAGACCTTAGACCTTAGACCTTAGACCTTAGACCTTAGACCTTAGACCTTAGACCTTAGACCTTAGACCTTAGACCTTAGACCTTAGACCTTAGACCTTAGACCTTAGACCTTAGACCTTAAACCTTAGACCTTAAACCTTAGAGTAGTTGCAAGTTGATCAACTAATACATCTGCAGCTTGCATACGAAATGTATATAAATATAATTACAATTAAATTGAATTAAAAGTTCAAAAGGAAACGAGAAACTTTAAGAATTAAACGTGTAAATTATATGAATGGTATTTAAGGGAAAGTTAAATTTAAGGTTCATTTTACCTTAATAGAATGTAATCTCGCTCTCTAATGGCCTTTGATTGAAAGTGCAGGTGAGAAATGATTCGAAACACTTTGTATTGCATTGGCAGCAATTTCCGGTTGCTATCAATTGTGGTTCGCCACTTCCGCAGTTGTCTAATGAAATCCTTTAATCAGTGCTCCAGACTCCAAGGACAATTAGTAGCAATGCATATAGAGAGTGTGAGAGAGAGAGAGGGATGAAAGCATGTTCAATTTATGCTAGCTCTAATCAAGTTGGAACATCTGGACGCCACGGGGGGCTTCACATGCCGCAAACAGCTATACTTAATTACTTGGAAATGCAACCTCCACGGCACTTGGCTGCTCCTTTGGGAAGTCTTTGCTCCCAATGGAGTCATTCACCCTGTTCCAAAAAAAAACCTCAACATTCGCGGCATTCGAATCCAGCAACTGAATACTCGTTTACCATACCCGTGGTTATTATTTTAGCAGAGGCATGTTCACGACCTCACGCAGCTTGCAATGTGTGCTTTACGGGCCATGATGGTTGGCTAGGTGGTTAGGTGCGATAAGGTGTGGTTGGGTGGCTGGGTGTACAGAATTGAGGTGAACACATCGCAGCGCTAAAAGGCAAACAAAGGGAAATCAATCTTTGTAGGTACTTTCAACATATTGGTAGGCATATGTATACATACAGCCCCCACACATATACGCACATTCGTGCATTCCCACACACATAGCGATTTGTTGCTATTGGAATTATGAATTTGAGTATGGACTATGTGCGTGTGTGCGCTAACAAACGGGGCTGCAGGGGAATATTTGCATGCCTTTGTGGACTTTTTCCATATGATTTATGACCCAAATTGTAGGTGCACACACCAGCGTCACATAATTACTTGCACACACACACGCATATCTGCACATCTGTGTGTTTGCCTCTGTGTGCGTTAGTGCCATGGGAGCGCATGAAAGTATGCTACACTTTTGTTTTATGAGATAATAAGGGGCGTGGCAGATAAACATTCGTTCATATTAATGATAGCCATATAAATATATATATATATATATAGAAATATGTGGGTATGTAAAAAATATGCATGTAAAAATATTGTTTTCCGGTTCAATTCATGTTTGTTTTGAACAAAAATATTTAAATATATATAAATTGTATATCCGTATGTTAGGTTTTAATCGCACTCTCTTAAAAATGGCAGTCTTTATTTTCAAAAGTAAAAAGAGAAGTGTAAAGTGAAAAACTTAAAAATAAATAAAAATTCTATCATATCAAATTGACATGTTTATTACAGACAAAATACAAATTCACTTCCAATCTTAAATCCAAAAACTAAAATTTAAAAAAAATTAATATAAATATGATTTTCCATTTAACACAATTTCTGTAAAGTAAATTATTTTCTTCAATTTACTAGACAGAAAGGAATGAATGTAAATTATTTATGTTTGAGATTTCCCTTTTTTCAATTGAACTTTGTTGAATCGAACTATCAGATTTTATTTTATTTATTTATTTATTTTCACATTTATCGGTTGTGCTGGAGCCAATGTGTTTCTAAAACTAAATATGCAAATCCATTTCATTTATGTTATGCATTCATTTAGTGTACCACAATGTTGAACTTGTTGACATTATTTAAATGTCCTTTCTAACATTTTAACAATTAAAACTTTTATACTGGAAGCTTTTCATGTAGCTTTGTTTCATTAAATCAGCAGTTTGAACAAATCCACAATTATTTTTATGTATTAAATAACAAATGGAAATAAATATAATCATGCCACAGGCAAAATGTTGGAATAACTATAAAATATATTTAAATTCACAAAATACCAGACGCAAAGACAATAGATTAAACTGTAGAAGGTCGGCCAAGCAAATCTACAGAAAATCAATGCAAAATAGCTAATTCAGCAAATTTGGTTAAGAGATTAGTCGAATCCGCATTGTAATCCACAAATGCTGATGCAGATATGGGGCTAATCCAATTGCGAGCGAGCATATAAAGCAGCGAACAGAGCGCACTTTGATTTTGTCTTGGGGCAACGACGGAGCCCAGCTAGGCGCCCGACTGTGCGTCATGGAGTACAATATCAGTGGCATCGGGAATGTGTCGACGGTGCTGCGACCGGAGGCGCGTCTGTCGGCGGAGACACGATTGCTGGGTTGGAATGTGCCGCCGGATGAGCTGCGACACATACCCGAGCACTGGCTGACATATCCGGAGCCGCCAGAGTCCATGAACTATCTGCTGGGCACACTCTACATATTCTTTACGGGTATGTCGCTGATAGGCAATGGCCTAGTCATTTGGGTCTTCTCGGCAGCCAAGTCGCTGCGAACGCCTTCGAACATACTGGTGATCAACTTGGCCATCTGTGACTTTCTGATGATGAGCAAGACGCCCATCTTTATCTACAACAGCTTTAACCAGGGCTTTGCGCTCGGCAACCTAGGTTGCCAGATCTACGGCATCATTGGCTCTTACACGGGCATCGGTGCCGGCGCAACGAATGCGTTTATCGCCTACGATCGCTACAATGTGATCACGCGACCCATGGAGGGCAAAATGACGCACGGCAAGGCAATAGCAATGATAATTTTCATCTATATGTATGCAACGCCCTTTGTAGTGGCCTGCTACACGGAATCGTGGGGTCGATTTGTGCCTGAGGGCTATTTGACCTCGTGCACGTTCGACTATCTGACGGACAACTTCGACACGCGCATGTTTGTAGCAACCATCTTCTTCTTCAGCTTCTTCTGCCCCACCACCATGATTCTGTACTACTACAGTCAGATTGTCAGCCATGTTTTCAGTCACGAGAAGGCACTGCGCGACCAGGCCAAGAAGATGAATGTCGAGTCGCTGCGCTCCAATGTGGACAAAAGCAAAGAGACGGCCGAGATACGCATTGCCAAGGCAGCGATTACCATTTGCTTCCTATTCTTCGTTTCCTGGACACCCTACGGCGTAATGTCGCTGATTGGGGCATTTGGGGACAAGAGCTTGTTGACGCCGGGTGCCACCATGATACCGGCTTGCACGTGCAAGATGGTAGCCTGCATAGATCCATTTGTGTATGCGATCAGCCATCCCAGATACCGCATGGAACTACAAAAGCGGTGCCCTTGGCTGGCCATTAGCGAAAAGGACCCCGAGTCCACCACGGTGGCCTCTACAACGACCACGCAGGAGCAGCAGCAAACGACAGCGGCGTAGAGCTCGACTGCTCTACAAATCCTCAACTTTACTGCTGTAGAATGCCTGACAAAAAGAATCGAACTCAACTAAGCCAATCTCGTAATACTAATCGCCAGGAAACTTCTATAACAGCAACTCAACCGAAACAAAAATGTGCAAACAATAATATTTATTATATATCTTTAGTTTCATCTGTAGCATCATGCTCTTCAAAAATAAATAATTAATTAATGCAAGCAATGAGAAGCAAACACCCTGTTGTCAGTCACCCTCTTCCCTACCAGTCGAAAGCTGAGAAAGCAAAAGAAAATTGGGTAAAACACAATGCGTGAATGTTAAATATGTTGTGCTAGTTTCCGACTATAGCATACAGTCCACAATAAAATCCACACTCAATCAAATCCAGTCTCTCGTGCTTGCTGTCGCTCTCACTGGACTGCGCTTGCGCAATCGACGTGAAACGCTCTCGCAATGAGACTCAAGTGGAACAAGTGGAATGTTTGCTATCAGAGCTTGGCATCCACAGACTGATAACAGCATGTGGGCATATTTGATGCCCACATGCGCTCCACACAACATTTATCATTTCTCTTTACTTAAATAAGGCTTTGGCACTTAGCATCTACAAAGAATCCACAAACTCTTTTACACATATATATATTCCTCCTCTTCATAGAAGGCGCCTAGACGCCTATGCTGTGTTCAGCTGCGGCATGCTCCAGAAGATTTTTTTTAAGACCCGTCGTCTGTTCATATGGCGCCTTGTTATGGCATTTAGCTTTTCAAGTGAACGAGTATATCGGTTTTCACATGAAATATGTAATGTATGCTATTAGACACTATGTGGCTAATTTTATCAGATCGGAAAATAAAATTGCAATAAATATTTTCTGTTGTGTGTTCACAGACCCTTCGTTCGGCTGAGTATGTCACAGTCGGTAGCACCCGATTGCAACAAATTTTTGTGTTTTGCTCCTCCTGCAGTCAGTCCCCCAAGGGCAGCAGCCTTGCCAGTGCTTTTCCTGCTTCGCTTTGCGGCAAGCCCAAAAAACCGCGGGCGGACAGCAGCAACAGCAGCAGCGAGTGGCGCAGCACATAAACCAAAACCTTCCGCAGCAACAAAAACGAAGCAAAATTAATGAAAATCACCCACAAACATATACACACACACACTCACACGCCCTCTTCTCACACACACTGACAAAGCGAGACAATTAAAACGGCAGCCACAAACGTCCTTGCGGTGCACGCCAATGAGTGACTGCCGCCAGGACGAACAAGCGACAGCCGACAAACGACAACCGAGAAGCAGTCCCGGCACATTTGTCTTCCACGAATTTCACTTTCGCACTCATTAATTAAGATAATTAGGCCTTTTCGACGCCTTCAGAGTTCAACCTGCAAAATGGCAACCACCAAACGAAACACCAGCCGGACGGACTCAGTCGAAGGCCGACGTCGACGTCGCTTATTAAGTGACAGTTCGAAGCTCAAGGAACAGCACTCATAATAGTCTTAGACCCGAACTGCAATTTCGAACAGTTTGCGTGGGCACTTGAAGTCTCTAATGAGTGGCCTTAGCACACGGTTGGACAGCTCCACACACCCATTTCCTTTCAGCTTACGTGTTAGCATTGCGCTTGTGTAGGCGAGCATCTTAGACTACGAACAGAGGGCGAGCAACGCTGCAAACAAAAAATGTATTTTTCTTATAAAAATAATAATTATATAAGGTTTTTTAAGCAAGCATACATCTTGAAAAAAACTTAAGTATGTCCAGATTTAATTATTGTAAAACTGAATAATGTGAACAACCCGAATCATCAGCTCCAGACAAGCGCCAGCGACGGACAGGTTTGTTAAGATATTCTAAATTCGTTGCACAAGCTGAGTTCGTTAAAGGAAGTACAATTAAGGAGAGTGTGGAGAGGGAGCATCAGTAGAAACTAATCAAAGTTGAAAAACTTACGCTTTTTTCCGCCTTTTGCTGTTAATGATGAATTTACCGTCTTTTCCTGCAACTAATTGAGATTTGCATGATTCTTGTTATGTTGCTCGGTGTGGCAGAAAGAGCATTCGGCAATGCTTAAATAATGTGGTGCACAGCAGTTATACTTTCAGTAATCTTCTGTGGTTATGTGCCATGTTTTCGGCAGTCTGTGCTTCGTGCTCTGTGCAGTGCCGCATTGCGTATACGCCCGCTAGTCCCTCGTTAATTGCAATGCTTGTCATTTGCCTGTCAATTTGCATTTAAATTACAAAATTTAAATGCTTTTTTTGCTGTTGTTGCTAAGTGCGTTGAGCGCGCTCACACTTTACGACCAGCAGGAGCCCACACTGGAAGCAACCGATATTAAAATCGGCAGCAATAGCGCATTTGTCAGAGCGACAAAGCCCATTGGCGAGTCACTTAGAATGCCATAGATACTTTGACAAATGTCATTCCATACCAAGCTGCAACACACTAAGACAGACAATGCCACACTCAGACAAGACTCAGCCTTAACCCAATCTTTTGTTTACGCTGCCACATTGGCCGCTGGCTGGCTGGCTAATTCTCGATGAGCACGGCCTGGCTGGAGCTAATTTTGTTGCAAATTGCTCGACTGTAAAAAAGAGGATCGAAATTGCTGTGCCTCACGGCCTCACGGCCACACGGCCTCGCGACCATACGGCCTGACCTCGAACTTTGCTCTCTGATGCGAACACGAGATGCTGGGCTCTGTTTGCCGTTTAATTAAAGCGACGCCCACGCGCCACGCCCTTATCAGGCGCAAGCACTCCCTTTTTGCCACATCCTGTGCGTGTTGACCTTATTATGTTAACTTTGTGTGCAGTGCATAAACTGTGATAAAAATCGCATATTCTACGCCACGTCGCTTGCCTCATTTTAAATGTCTATAATTTATGTTGGCCGTTAAACTGGCTGGCTGCTTGGCTTGGCTTGGCTTTGGCTTTAGCTTTTGCTTTTGCTTTTGCTTTTGCTTTGGCTTACAACAATTTGATGGCATATAATTATTAGTTCGTATAATTTATGGCTTCATTTTAGCTTAAAAAGTTGCGCCAGCTGAGTCAATCCTGTATATACAGATATATGTATATATAGCTCTCGGTACCGCTTTGCTGATTTATAACTAATTTCGCTGGTGTTTTTTATGAGCTATCAAAAGTGCAGCTGCTTTGAATTTTAATAAACTTCACTGGCAACCAATATGCAACCGATCCAAATTGGTTTTGAGCTCTCCAACAGAATAAACTAAAAGTTAATTCTTAATCGCTTTATGCAATTAGTTTCATAAAATATTTATGCTTCGGTAGAGAAAGAAAGAGAGACAGTATTAATGTAGTTTAAATTTAGCTGCCAATAAAAAGGTTTTATTTTCATACTTTTTTATGTTTTTGATGAAAGAAATACTGTGTGAACTACAAAATAAAATTATATAAATTATATTATTAAAATCCAAGCGTTGATTTCTTTGTGTATTATAGAAACTTATATGACAATCAGTTAAATATATATACTTTAATAAAAAAACAAAGTTTAAATATTTATTTAATTAAGAAAACTTAAATGGAGTAGGAGGAGCTGAGTGGAAGTGGCTAAGTGAACTGCTGTGCAGTCTGTTAGCTATGCTCGAACTTTAACAATTTACTAAATTTAATATATGTTTAGTTTCCTCTGTTGAAACAAAATTTAGTTCGATATGTCATGCCACAAATTTTGTTCTCTTACTTTAAATTTATAATTATCAAATTCAAATTATACATATAAGTCAGAAATGCCTGGAAATTCCTTGAAATACCTTGATAGGTGCACGCTTTGACAGATCAGAAATTAAGTTTTGTGTCTGCACAATAGAAGTGTACACAATGCCTTCCAACTATGACAATAATTTATAATTAAATAATTTATTTACTTATTAAATAACTTAAATACCAAGACCTTCGTTTATTTTTATTCAAACTCCAAATTTAAGTCAAGAATGTTGAAAATGTTTGCTTGCGGATGTTAAACAGCTTAAACTGGGCTGTGTGTGTATTTTAAATGCTTGTGAAAGGGCCGCCCGCATGCAAATAATTGCATTAAAATTTTACAGGAGCCGGCCTCCTGCTGCCTCTTAGCTTCGTGGCCTGCTAGCCTTCTGGTCGCCTGATATCTGTTCAGAGTGACACCAACTGCATTGCGGTTCGGGCGCGTCAAAAACTATTTGTTCGAGAATTTGTACTTGCTGTTAAGTTTTTGTCTTATGTTTTTTTGCTTTTGTGTGTCAACAAAACAATGGGCCAAAGTGTCGGCCTCTGCTGTCTAAGGCAGTAGGCACTTGGCTGGCGGCCAACAATTGCGCAACCCAACACATAAACATATCCATTTTCCTTCGTCTGCCAACTAAGTCAAACATAAGTCGAGGCAAAGCCAACCAAATTTGACTTTAAGGACATGAGCCGTAACAAACGCTGGCAACCCTATCAAACAGTGTGCACAACAACCCAAACTATGCAGAAGATGCTCATTTCACTTTTAACTGATACTTTAACTTTTTAATTTATGCACGCAATCGACTTGAGCCCAAGTTCCGCGTAGAATTATTAAATATGACCATGCTTTCATGCAATTCATTAACATACTCGAAAGCACATAAATACTTAAGCCAAACTTTCCAAATTAGATAAATGTAGCAGAAAATGAGTTTACGAGCATACAACACCCGTCAGGTACGTGGTGTGATATGCCGTGTTGTTATACCCTGATCCCATTGAAAATGGGAAATCAGGGTATAATGGTTTTGTGCAAATGTATGTAACAGGCAGAAGGAGGCGTGGCAGACCCCATAAAGTATATATATTCTTGATCAGGACGACAAGCCGAGTAGATCGAGCCCGGTCCGTCTGTCTGTCTGTCCGTATGTGTGAACGCGAGTTTGTTTCAAATATAACTATTCTCATTTAATTGTTATCGAATAAAAACATGATTGAAATGCAGTTAATAAATTAAATCTCAGACGTCTTAAAAGCTAGAGCGTCCAAATTTTGTATTTAGTTTTATATATATTTTATGCAATTTGGACTTTTGTTGGATTTTGGATACCGGCTCCAAATTTCCCCAAATTCTTAAAATTTTAGTTCAGTTGGAAGTAGGGCCATTTTGTGAGGGCGTTAGCATCTCTACGAAGCCAATTGGATATGTAGAGCATATGCTGAAAATTTCATTAAAATCCATTAAGTAAAACATAAGTTATTAA